GAAAGCCTTCGACACGGTGAATCGTGAAGGACTGTGGAAGATCATGCAGAAATTCGGCTGCCCGGAGCGATTCACTCAGATGGTGCGTCAGCTGCACGACGGTATGATGGCGCGAGTCACGGACAACGGAGCTGTCTCAGAGGCATTCGCAGTGACCATCGGAGTGAAGCAGTGCTGTGTGCTGGCGCCTACCCTCGTCAGTCTTATGTTCTCTGCCATGCTGATGGACGCCTACCGCGACGAACGCCCCGGGATCCGCATCGCCTACAGGACGGACGGTCGTCTCCTGAATCAACGGCGCATGAACTTCCAATCGCGCGTGTCCACAACCACCCTTCACGAACTCCTCTTTGCCGACGACTGCGCCCTGAACACCACCTCGGAAGAGGAGATGCAACGAAGCATGGACCTATTCTCCGCTGCCTGCGAGAACTTTGGGCTGGTTATCAACACGTAAAAGACGGTGGTGATGCACCAACCGCCACCCAACTCAGCCACAGCCCCCAACGCGCCGCCGCAAATCAGCGTGAATGGGACCCAACTGCAAGTGGTGGAGAACTTCCCATGCCTGGGCAGTACCCTCTCCTGCAACACCAAGATCGACGACGAAGTCGCCAACAGGATCTCAAAAGCCAGTCAAGCCTTCGGCCGCCTCCAAAGCACAGTTTGGAATCGTCATGGGCTTCAGCTGAGCACGAAGCTGAAGATGTACAAAGCCGTCATCCTGCCGACGCTACTGTATGGAGCGGATACTTGGACGGTTTACACAAAGCAGGCACGCCGACTGAACCACTTCCACCTTAGTTGTCTTCGTCGCATCCTGAGGCTGAACTGGCAGGATCGAATCCCCGACACTGAAGTACTGGAGCGGACGAAAATCCTCAGCATCTACACCATACTAAGACAAATGCAGCTGCGCTGGAGCGGCCACCTGGTGCGCATGGACGACGAGCGACTACCCAAACGACTCTTCTACGGAGACGTCGCGACGTGTTGTCGCCGTCAAGGAAGCCAAATTCGCCGTTACAAGGACACCCTGAAGACATCCCTGAAGCGTCTGCAAATCAACCCGACCAACTGGGAGGAGCTCGCACTCGATCGACCAACATGAAGAAGGACAGTGAAGACAGGCGCTGCGATCTACGAATCCAATCGCATCGCTGTCGCCAAAGCGAAACGCGAAGCCCGCAAATCGCAACCTCGTCCAATACGCAACTCCGCCGCACAACCGCTTCCAACGTGTCCTCGATATCAACGGACATTCCGGGCCCGAATCGAACTTGTCGGACATATACGGATCAACTGCACCTCTCAGACTGCCTCAACCATCGTCCCCCCGCCCGCCACTTCCTCATCCTCTGCGCCACAAACTAACTCTGACACGTCTTCTGGATCACCACTCCC